CATCCATCCATCCATCCATCCATCCATCCATTGTCTTCTGCTTATCCGGGGTGGGGTCGTGGGGGCAGCAGGTGGAGCAGGTCATTCCAGACTTCCCTTCCCCTGGCAACCCTTTCCAGCTCTTCCTGGGGGATCCTGAGGCGTTCCCAGGCCAGCCGAGAGATATAGGGTCCCTCCAGCGGGTTCTGGGTCTGCCCCGGGGTCTCCTCCCAGGTGGACGTGTTCGGAAGAACCACAACAAGGAGCAGCCCTGGCGGAGTCCAACACCCACTGGGAACGTGTTCAACTTATTGCTGAGAATGCGGACACAGCTCGCACTTCGGTTGTACAGGGACAGAATGGCTCATAGCAGTGAGCCTGGTACCCCATACTCCCTCAGTACCCCCCACAGAGTACCTCGGGGAACACGGTCATAGGCCTTCTCCAGATCCACAAAGCACATGTGGACTGGCAGGTCGAATTGCCATGACCTCCTCAGCAGTTCTGCAAGGGTAAAGAACTGGTCCTCTGTTCCAGGATCTGCATTGCTCCTCCTGAATCCAAGGTTTGACAACTGGTTGGAGCCTCCTTTCCAGCACCCTAGAGTAAACTTTCCCGGGGAGGCTGAGAAGTGTGACACCCCGATAGTTGGCACACACTCTCCGGTCCCCCTTTTTTTAAATGGGAACCACCACCCTGGTCTGCCACTCGACTGACAGGAGAATGGTCTCAGCTCTCTGCTTCCCCCTGAACACTGGTTCTGTCCACATTCTTTGTCGTGCCAATGTGAAATTTAAATAATCACTTTTGATTCAAGCAGATAGCAGAATATTTATACCCCAGACCTCCTCAGTACTCTGCTTCTTTAGAGCACTGAAATACAAACGATTGCTCACAATACCTCTGGCTCCACATAACGCATACGTTTAGGTTTGTTGGTGGTCAGGATTCATGTCCAGCTACAGAGGGCTTCTTGCAGTTTGCTGAATGTGTGTTGTTGTTAGCCTGGTCAGTTCCTGGTTTCTGTGTATTTATTAGGCACCCAATATATGCAGCAGAAGAATGACTGCACATTCAGTTCAGTTCTATTAGTGCAGCTCAGTTTACAGCTTGTGTCATCTCACAGCCTGAACACAGTCAGGAACAGACCTCACAGAGTTAAACAGAGAACCAACGATCCAGAGCAGCCTCTGGACTTCCTCTGAGCAAGCGGTTGGGGGGGGACTTCCAACAGAACCAGACTCAGGGAAGGAGGCCATCTGCCTGGACCGGTTGGGTGAGAGTGGAGGTGAGGGAGGTTGAGATAACAGGATAGTAGATGGAGATCATAGAACAGAACAATAGATATGAATATAAATATTCTGGGGGTCGGTGAGGCCAGCAGCTGGAGGTCAGAGACGTGAAGCTCCAGATCCAGAGATGTCCACAGAGAGAACAAGCAGGTGATCCTGAGCAGCTCTAACTATCAGCTTCATCACAGAGGAACGTTTTCATCCTGACCTTAAAGCACAGAGGGTGTCNAGCAGCAGCAGCCATTAAGCACATTGTTGGGACTAACACTGCTAACATTGCGCCTTGCGTCATGGAGTGAATCTGCATTCTCTCTCTCTGTCTGTAGGAGCTCAAGAGGTTCTCATTGACCCAGGTATGGAATGTCTAACCAACATAGCTCTTCTAGACACCAGTTTGCCTGTTTGCTTGTGCTCACATGTGCCACTTTCACATGCGTTTGATGTTACTCTTCATCCTGCTCCATCACCGGCTTGATTCGTGTTGCTTCTCACCTGATGTGTTTTTTTTTTTCCTCCTGTGACAGATAGTGTTCTCCTGTGTTGGTTTACTATCGCCGTTTTTTTTAAAAATTCATTCTGATGTACCTGCTCTCTTTCACAGCCTCACTTTTGGTGATCAGTATCACTTTAAATGGCCACTTTCAGTTGCTTCCATTCCTTATTTATTGCCCCATTATTCTAATAACTTACATCTTATGCTTGATTATAAAGCAAAAAATCTTTTAACCCTATCAAAATCTTTTTAAAACAATCTGTTATGAAAAGACTTTGAAGATAAGATTATGTAGTTCTCCTGAAGCACCAGCAGATGGCAGTCCAGCACCAATCATGCACACTGTGACTTTCTGCTTATTTAAATGCTTACTGATGCTTAGCTATCACTATTATAACCTAAGGGGGAAAAAAATCACATTTTTGCACCTTTCTCTAACTTTGTAAGGAGATAATACACATTTTTTAACTTCGCTATCTCAAAAAATGTACAAAAAATAGTGCAATACAGTATCTCAGTATTTACACGTTTCTCATGGTGACAGCATCACAGTGTTGCCATGGAAACCGTCCCGTTTGCAGCTGATCCAGTGACGGTTAAGTTTGTATTAAAATCAGATTTAGCCGAGAGATGCCCCCTTAAAATTGCCTTTGAAAGATTTCAGTTGCGATTTAAGCTGGACATTAACTGTGAATATTGATTTGTTTACATCTTAAGGACTGTGTGGACTTTAGAATATTTATTTTATAATCTAATACTGGCGCAAAGCAGTGCAGGCCGAGCTTGTAAAGTTTAAGGTTCAATGGGGTGATCTTGAGGCACCAGAATGCAAGTTTCATTCATCATTATCTGTTGTTATGGTATCTGCTAAGATATGTTTAGAGTTCTCTGTGTTGAGTATTTGAGCACTGTACTGTATATACGGTAATACCCTGTGTGACAAATGTGCATGTGATGGTGGTAGCCAAAGACTTGTCTTTGAACAGTAAGTGATGGATTTAAGTTTCTTTTCCTTCCTGGTTTCACTCTTTTTCCTTTAGTAGCAGAGAACATTGATGGGCACTCATCGTTGTGGCTTTTCCTGTACTAATCTTTATACTGTCCTTTTTTGAGTGTAGGTGCCCTCACAGCCAACGGCATTAGTGCAGACACCAGTGCCGAGATCGGACGAGCAAAGAACTGCCTGAGTCCCGAGGACATTATTGAGAAATACAAAGAGGCCATCTCCTACTATGGAAAGGTACGGACCTAAAGCTACACAACTGGTAAACCAGGAATCAAACCAGTATGGTTGTTGATGGATTAAGGATACTGATGCTGAGGCTGCATTGAACATGTGTTGCGTACAGATTGTTTGAGAAACAGATGCTGCATCTCTGTGCTTCCACCAGGCATGAGAGCAGGATGTACGTATTAGGTATGCATCATGGAGATTTGCTCTACAAATGTAAAAGTAGACCAGTTTTCTATTTACATTTATTGTGAGTGGTGTGTGCACACAGCCCATTTACACAGACACATATCATATCATCATAAAGTGTCTATTTTGGAAAGAAAAAGGAAACTACCTCTATAAATGACTTCGTTGAGTGACTGTGTATCAAACAGGGGTCCACTTTTGGGTCTTGATTACTCCGATGGCATTTATTTTGCCACTACCAGCTGATGTTTGCCCAGTAACTTTGTCCATTACAGAGTCTACTGTACTCTTTAGATGGTAACTAACCCATAGTACACAAACTGAAGTGAAAAACTATGAAACTAAAAAAAACAAAGCAATCCCAAAAATGTCTTTTTTGACACAACCTTACTCTGCAGATGTGCTGCAGGTGTAGCCAGCAAGAAGATGTGTTCCATGGCACGTCCAGTTCAGAGTAGTCTGCATGTGTTGCATGTTTAATGTAGCCAATAGTATTGCCATAGTAGTGAATATCCCAAATTCTGCTTCGTTAAGTTTGAGATAAGACTCTTGGTCATGGGTGTTAAATGTCAAAGATATAGACCATGAGACTTTTAAGCTCTGATGAAAATTTACATTTTAAGAAAAATCAAAGTTTTCTGCGGGAGTACAGTGTAATTTTGGGTTTATATGAACAGCTAAAATACTGATGATCTACAATAACAAATAGCAGCTCAACTATCTAATTAAACAATGACAATCAGATAATGAATTGTTCATTAAAGCCTAGTATTATTTAATATACATTCAGTTATATTCTAATACTTATTTAATCATTAAAGAAGTGCTAATATTGTTTTTTTCTAAATGAGGTAAAATCTTAGTCTGTTCTAACTGCAGTAAAGTTTAATTTAAGTACCATTTGTCAGGATGAGACACCACAGTGCTTTGCTAAATGACAAAGAAGAATAAATATATTTAAAGAAAGTAAAACCAAGCTAACTTTGAATCGGTAGATGTTGAGCCACCTTCTAGCGATGTAAGTGGTAAGTGTGGTGCTGTTCTATAGTGTTCTGATTGTTAACAAGTCTAAAACCAGCAGTGAATGTTTACCATCAAGTAATGCCTGCGTGTCCTTAGTCCGATAAAGGTTTTCCTTTTGTGCCAAAAAACTCCTTTGTTGTCCAAAAAGCTATTAAAAACACATCACTGAGCCGCACTGTTGCACCGGTTGACACGTTGCTGCTGCTGTGATGAAAACTGCCACTGTAGTTTACTTTGGATCAGTCAGGCAAAAATTCTTTGTTGTGCGCCAGATCTGCAGCTAGAAACGGCCCCAATAAATTCACTGTTTACTCCTTTTTGAGTAATGTCATAATAACTGCAGTACTTAGCTGTTATTTACAGTATAATAAAAATGTAAAAAAAGTAAAAGAAACGTATATTTGTGAAGATTTGTGTCTTCATAAAGAACCAATAGACATAAATAAATACTCACTATAAAGCAAATTTGTAGTGGAAAATAGTCAAGGTATCTACAGATCTTAAAAACATGTTGAATTCAGTTTTCTTTAAACATTTTTATGTAATATACAGCCTGGACTGTATCATGAACTTAAATTAACTTAAAGTAATTAACACATTTTAATTGGTTAATCCACCGTTTTATGTAATTTGCTTGTGTCTGGCTACCATTAATAAAAAGTCTTCCAGCAGTCATTGATTAAACCCCTAAATATTCAAAATTCCAGACTCATCTCTGTGGATTATAGTATATTATAAAAAGTGAAAATAATTCCCCTCTACCTTAAAACTATTAATACAACAGTGTTGACTGCTAATTTTTGCTCACGATATGTCCACTAGTTTATCTAAACCACCATATGGGGGTCTTCAAAAACAAAACAAAACAAAAAAAGATTAAAATTATCAATAATTCTGGATCATACTGGCCCTCCTGATCTTCCATCATACTTTCATAGTTTGCCAAGTATAGTAACAGATGTTAAATTGCATTCTATGTGGTATTAACAAGACCTTAATGTCTTAAATTAAAATTGGTGAACCCTGCAGAAGAAGAAAATTACCGAGCCCTTTTCATTTATTTATTTATTTTTTGAAAGTTTATATTAACAATCTGTTTTTTAAAATGTCTATGCTTATAGGTACAAAAGTGACACCAACACACAGTAGGGATGTCAGGAAGTATTGAGAGACTTTGATGGCATTAACAAAAATAAAGAATATCACCGCTCCTGTTCTTTAAGTCCAAAACACGTGTTGCAGATTAGGAGCCACAACCTCAAATGACAAATTGATTATGCATATGGTACAATTATAGACTGTTTATCTGTGCAGTTAATTGATTGTATATTGATGCACATTTTATATTAAATCCATTTATTATATGTAGGCTCATGTAATGTTGTAATGAATCATAGGGTGATAAGGGGGTGGGAGTTTATAAGTTTATACTTCTTCCGGCTCCTTTTCGAACTCATTTTTGTACATTTTTTCCCCATGCTTTTTATTTAGTTTTTCATTCATTCATTCATTCGGTCATTGATTCATTCATTCATTCATTCATTCAGTCATTCATTCATTCAATTGCAGTTTTTAAGCGATAAGCAACCACTAGTCCTCTAAATGTGCTTTACTCTGTCTTTATCCAGAGAAGGTACTCTTAAAGTCTCCCTCTGATTTACCCCCAAACAAACTCATCTCCACAAATTAATTTTAGACTTTTCCATAAAAATTATCCCCCTTACTGCCTTAAAAATGGCTTCAATGTAACTCTACATTATTGCTTTCTTTAGAAATTGCAAATCTCTGAAGTCTCTCTTTACAGTCCCCTCTGCCATTTTCTGCAGCTCAAGCACACCAGCTCACCTGTGACTCTGCTCAAACACTGTAAAACTACTCTATGCTACACAATGGCAAGTTGTACAACAGGAGTAACTCAGCAGGCCATTAAGAAAACTGATGATACAGAAAGCTAAACCCTGCTAGTTGACCGGATTGGTTCCTTAAGAGCTCAGAGGTGCTGATGAATGCTTATTTCACTCATGATGTGTCTTGTAGTCAGTACAAAATATCAGAGTGGGTCTTGAATGTTAGCTCCAAATGATCCCATGCATGTGGTGTCCAGATTTAGGGTAATGAAGGTTGTGTGTGTGATCCAGGTAGTGTCGTATTTTCCCTCAGTCTGATCATCCGTAGTCGTGTTTACATTTGGGTTCATTGATATAAAACCTGCACCAACAGGCAGAAATGTAGCTATGTGTCTGTGGAGTAATAGTTATTCATCTCACCAGGGGGCAGTATTTGATTTGATTTTCTTGCCATTTGAAGGCAAAGACAACACTGTGTTTGAGTTTTATCAGACCAGTACATGCTGACAGCAGCTGTTTATTACTGAATCCTACATGGGGACAAGATTTACCACTGAGCTTTGAAAGCGTGTGTAATTGCTAGTAGAACCTTTTCTAGTCAGCAGTAACCTTATAAAATCAGTGTTACACAGACCCAAAAGTGTTACGTATCTGTTCATGGAATAATATATTTGTACTCTCTTTTTTCCCCAATGTACTTGTACAAAGTCACAAAGAATAGTATTTAAGTATCCTTAATGCTCAAGGAAAGCTGAATAGGCTCATTATGCTACCCAACTATTCAGAAGCAATCCTGTGCTTTATCTTCATTATTATAATTGCCTTTTTGCACTGACCTCCCTCAGCCCTTTTACCTGTAACTAGTTCATTCAGAATTAAATTACATCTCAACACATAGCCATTCAGATATTAATTGAATTTTAATAAGGAGACAATGAGGGTGCAAGTGGAAGGAAGTTGAGGGACGGAGCGATAAAAAATGCACACATCTGTGCACAGTGTGAAGCCTGGGCAGCAGTAGCTCAGTGGAAAAAAAAGAGTAATGGCTGGGAATCCCCGAAAGACGAGCGACAGGGGATCCGAGTTATCACACTTGTCCGTCATCCCACGTTTGCGGTGACTGATGAGTATGGTCGTATGTTAATGAGGAAACATTACCTCCGATTATGAGGTGGGTTGTAAAACTCAAGGCGATCCTTGCTGGCTATTCATTTTTCATTAACGTCGATCCTCCCCCTGCTCCTCCTCTTATCTCCCGCAGTACAAGAACGCCGGCGTGATCGAGCTGGAGGCCTGCGTGAAAGCGGTCCGGGTGCTGGCTATTCAGAAGAGGGCCAGGGAGGCCTCCGAGTTCCTGCAGAACGCTGTTTACATCAACCTGGGACAGGTACACTGTCTAACTGTGAAATCCTTTAACATACATCACCTTGATGCAGCTTGAGAAGCTATTGCAGCTTCACTGGATGATTAATACGGCCACTGGCTCTGCGGTGTACAGTTACATCACAGAGGCTGAAGAATATCATACTGTGTGCTAAAACAGAACCCACCTGCACCACAATGTGCTCTCAAAGTATGCATTACCTTTTTTTGTGTTTTTTTTTTTTCATAACTAGAGTGATACATTTCACTTTATCTATTTTTTCACTTCAGAGTTTTGTTTCCTTATGTAACCTACACAGCCAGTGACATTTCCTCCAGGTTTGCCTTTTTAGTGCAGTGATTTATTACATTTTCTTTCTTGGATTTTAAATATTGATTCCTAAATCGGTATTATAATAATTAGTGCATTAAAGGCAGTTTATTCACCTCAGCAATTATTGGCATGGATCAGTCTGGTGAAAGTGTTCCTAATAATCCTTGATAGTACTTTACAGAATGTTCCAACTAAATGTGAAGGCATATAATTACAACATTGGAACATTAAAGATGCCCTCTTCACATATTAGAAGATATATTAAAAGACTCATTATTATGCATAATTGTATATGTTTAAAAAACAAAAACAACAAAATCCTGCTCGTCTATCCATGTGTTGCACAGAGACTTAGGGTGATCTCAGAGAAACTTTTTCCATTCAGCAGATGAATGTAAAAACAGTCCTTTCATAATAACATAACAAACTATATTCATTCTTATTAAACATCCAAGTGAAGTCACAATGTCGTGCCTGTAACTGCAGCTATCGGAGGAGGAGAAGATCCAACGCTACAGCATTCTGTCCGAGCTCTACGAACTGATCGGCTTCCATCGCAAGTCGGCTTTTTTCAAGCGTGTCGCGGCCATGCAGTGTGTGGCTCCCACCATCCCAGAGCCTGGCTGGAGGGCCTGCTACAAGCTGCTGCTGGAGACGTTACCTGGATACAGCCTGTCACTCGACCCCAAGGACTTCAGCAAAGGTAGGAGGTTGGATTATATGGAAACCCGGAGGTAATAGGTTTATTATTTCTTTCCGCTCTTTCACGTGGGAATACTTGGGTTTGGTGTGAGAGAGCCTCATTGTTTTCATCGTTTCAAAACTGATCTCACATTTGATGTTTTTTTTTTTAGGGATGAAACAAACCATTAATTTCATCATCACTTTTTTTTTTCTGTTGGTATCTAATGGTGTTTTGCTTCAGTTGATAAAACATCAACCAATTGTGAAAAATAATCACCACATTTTTTATTTTTTCTTCAAATTGTTTGTTTTTTCCCTCCCAGCCAACACTATTAAATCCAAAGAGCTTCAATTTATCATAATATGAGAACAAATCTATTCCTCCTTTGAGAGGCTGGAGCCATAGAATAATTTAGATTTTTGTTTTGGCAACTGATAAATTATTCTTTATTGACCAAGTTTTTAGTGCTCAAAGATATTTTTATAAAACTATGGAATTGTTGCCTGATATAATACAAATCAGAACTCAAATCAAAATTCAGGGCTGAACCTAAAACAAAGCTCTTTGTCTGTAGAATTCACCCTGTCATGGGTAGATTTCTTTCTTCCTAGAGGTCTTAAAGGTTGCAAGTACTCAAGTACGCCTGATTTTATATCAGTGAAAAGGAATAAATCTGACTGAATAAATGTTTTATTAAGTACTGAATAGAGTGCCCCTCTTGCGTGATCCACAATCTGTGAGTGACAGCAGTGTAAACATATTTAACGGATTACGGAGATGAAAAGCATTGCTTCATTTCACTCCTAGCTTTGCTGTCTTTTTAAAAAGTACTCCATCAGGGTGTTCTGCATTCAAGCCACCACTTTTCTCAAAAAGCAGCACGACTGAGACCTGACCCGGGCTTTTGTAGATTCTTCGGTAAGGCTCTCGTGATAAGCCTCTTGGTTCTACAGACTCTTGACCCTTGCTCATTGCAGCCACTCAATGGCAAGCATTGGCAACATAAAAGACAGAGCGCGGAGCGAACAGAAAAGCTCAGGGACATCCGTATTTTATCTCGCCATCGCTATTCAAGGAACATTTTGTGAGGATTTTTATTCTGATACGCTGTTAATCTCTGGTCGTGTTTCCTTTATGCGTGATGAATCGCAACAAGCTGCATGTTGTTTTGAGGTAAAATGGTTTTTACTTACACTGAAATGTTGTTAAAGCAGGTGTTTGAAACTCAAATATGAGATGTACTGCTGTTTGAAATTTAGATTTATGCCAGTTAATGGTGGAGTCTGTGCTTCTGGAGGGAATATTGTTGCTATTTACTTATTTACGTGGCTCCAACCTGCGACCAAAATAGTCATATGTGCAACTGTTTTATACGTAGAATCCTCACCGGCCGGCTCAGGTAACTACTTTGTTAGCCAAATGTGGTTGAAAGGAGCTTTTTCTTCTTCACTGGCTCAGTCATTCTCTTGCCTGACACGTGGAACAATCCAATCAGCTGCGACCTTGTTCCAAAGATGAAGCGATCTATAGCTGATTATCTTAAAAAACCAAACGAAGGTGGAAGAGAAGGAGGAGGCTGATGAAGAGGGAGAGCTCGTGACCCAGACGCACCTGATGATGATGAGAGTGCAGGTGAAGGCAGGAAGATACTGACCGAGGTGGTGAAGAAGAAAAAAATAAAGCATTCAATCGCAATGTTAAAACAGCGTTAGGGCTTCATAATTAAATGAATACTGACAACATCACAAGTTCCCACAATTAAACATTTTATTGTAAAACTGATGTTTGAAATACTCCGCAAATAGAAAACAGCCTAATTGAAATTAACCTCTTGGTTTAATTTGGGGCGAATGTCTTATTTCATATATAATTCATATATAATTTTTTAAATAAGGCATTATGTAACTCATATTTGTTTACATGCTTTTCTGAGTTGTAGTGTCTATCGTTAAACAGATATTTAGCAAGTGAGGAGTTTGGCCAGTTCCTAGTTTATAACTTTAGGGAAAGAGTGCTGACACAATTGATATATTCATTTTAGACGGTATCAAATCACTTTTTTATCTTTACATCAATGCAACATAATGATATGCAAAGACAACTCGTCATCAACATGCAGGATTGATTAATACTCTGCTGAGTGGGGTGCAACCAAATCATATGCTTGTGCGAGCAATTGCGAAAGTGGGATGCATGAGTACTACCGGTAAAAAAAAAAACAAAAAAAGCCCGTCCCCCTGCATTAGCACAAACATGCACAGGACACTCTGGAATAGTGTTGTTGATCGGTCCGAGCCAACTAGTTCGTTTCCCATGTACAGAGCCAGTTACTAAATGTTTTTCAGCACACACACACACACAATAGATTGCAAGTAAACAATGATGAGATACTCACAGATTTTGACAAAACACATTTTGGATTATTACCGTTGACTCTGTCTTTAATCACCCAGGGAAAGCCAGTGGACTAGATTTTCATACTGTAACATGAACCCTACATTTCACTGGGGCGCATAGTATGACGGCATCACAGTTCATTCATTTCAAAAAGTGATGTCTTTGCCACACATGTACTACATTGTGGTAGCCTGCAGTGGGATTAAATGGTTTTAACTTATATTACGTTGCTGCGAAGTGGATGACCTAATTGGTAATAACAGCCCAAAATGATCAGATCACCAGTAATTTTTATTTCGAAATAATCTCCTGTTGAAGTTCTCTGTTCTTAAAAAATCATACTAAACTTCTGCAGAATGCTATTTGCAAATATTCATGCCAATTGCATGAAATAAGAATAGGAAAATACACTTATGTCCAGTTAAAAGTGGTTTTGTGGGAGTTTTGGCTGAACAAGATAGAAAAATAGAAAAAGGCTGAGGGATTGAGCCTAATTAAATCCTTAGCCTTCAAGTTTAGTGCAGTGGTAACATTTCTAATCATCCAGGTTTTTTTTTTATTTTTTAGTTTTTTGCCACAAAGAAGAGCAAATTCACTTTGTGGAGCTGCAGTTAGAGCAAAGCAGGGTGAGTTTGTTCCCTGCAGTGCTGAATATTCAGTGAGACGCTGCACCTGAAGCACACATTACAAGGTTAAAAGGTTCTAAATATGATTTAGTTTAGTTTAGAAAACCCAGAATATTTGACTGTTAGATTGCATTATGGGCTGTGAAGGATCCGTGATTGGATCAGAATAGGAGCTAAAAATGAGAAAACTGTGTTTTATGAATGATTTTGACACGACAAGTGGATAGGTTGAAGTTTTTGACAAACTGATATAACCATTAAACCTTCCCAGTTGATCACTTATGTTGCAAAAATTATTTTTTTTAATATTCCAGCTTTCCTAACATTTTTATGACTAACTATACAAATTAGGCGACCAAAATATGTGCCGCTTTGCATAAATTACTTGAGCAGAAATCTGAACACTGGATGAGACCCGGTTCAAAACTCTTTTTTTCATATTGCTGTCGTATTAGAGTCAAAGATACAGAAGGAATTCTGGATATCCCCTTTAATAACTCCATAAATATGGAAAATCTGTTGACAGAGAAAAAAATATGAAATGTTCTATAAACCAGGATGTAGCTGATACATGAACAAGCCTGTTATGGGAAGTTAAAGTTGTTGTATGTCAGTGCTGCTAAAGTGGACATTTCTGAATCAGAGGAAGAGAAAAAACTAATTCTGAGAAAGCAATCTTTAAACAAATTCTGAGCTTTTTCTAAAAATGGAAAACAACCATTTACGGTTAACAATTCTAACTAGAAAACACTGTGATGCTTCCCTCCCTTAAATGTTTACCTTATGGATTTGTTTTTTAATTTCAATTTTTCTTTTAGATGTTTTACGTTTGAATATGCAAAGAAAATGTAATCTCTTCAAATGTGCTAGAATTTGTTTAAATGTCCAATAGAAAATGTGAAATAAAATAAACAGCAAAATCTCAAGCTTGTTTTGCGCATGGGGGAAAAAAAAAAAGTTTTTGTTTGTAGTGTGAAACCCTCAAGTAACATTTCCAAGCAAGACACTTTTTTAAAAGCTTTTTGCCTCACAGACTTCATTGTGAGTGAAATCTTTGATGACAGTTTCTCTCCTACACTTTAGCAGCTATAAAATTTAATCCTCCGCTGCATATTAACGTATTGGCTGTCTTAAATGTTAATATGAAATACAATAAAGTGAAACAGCATGATAAGCAAACTGTTTTTTTAAGGTAATTGGCAAGCTTGCTCCAGTCGTTTTGGAGAACTCAGTTCTTTCACTTCTGTCTCTTCACGTTATCCAGAACCGAGTCCATTAAGTTACGGTCTGGACCCCGTGTTGCACTATTCCTAGTTTTTGTTGTTGCTGCAAAATTAATTTGGGACTGACCAGATGATGAATAAGAATCTAAACATCTAAGGTACCCTAAAACATCAGCACAGTACTATATGACTACCAGTATCAGTTCAGTAATTATATGCTCAGAAGGAGACACTCATTGCCTCTCCTTACTTTAGATTATATATAACTTCATATTAGATATAAAGGTCACTAGAGGTCGGATTTCACCTTAGTGCAGGTAATACTTTGACAGTTGTAGAACTAAGTTTTGAAAAAAGTGAGTAATTAAAAAGTAAAAAAAAGGGAAAAAACATTTAAACAAGTCTGTGCTTCATTGTTATATAACACAATCATAAAGTTGGAGCTGGAAACATTTCACATGAGCGAAATAAAATCTATGAATACAGTTCATCATTCGATTACAATTTTAAGGTGAGACGGCGATACTTTCCTCTGCTCCAGTTTATAGGGTTACTCTCATCTGTCGGTGTTTGTGTTTTACTTACAATAGCAAAATCTTAAATCAACAAGTAGATGAATAGAGAAAGAATTGTCCAACTGAACCTAATGGAAAACAATAGGACACACTCTGTACTGTATTCAAAAGCACTGTTATACTTGTGTTTTATATTCTGTACATACTGAAACATCAGCTTTACCACCCAAATTACAACTGTGGCATCTACTTTGAATTCACACAGGACTCATAGGAAATGATAAGTCCTCTGGCAGAAGGGATCAGATGAGAGTTAATCAAACAGTAGGCTACAGATGCAGGTTTGAGAGACAAAGAAAATGGGGATCAATGGTGCATTCCAATACAGCTCCGAGATACAGTAGAGCGAATGGATAGCAGAAGTGCTAAACGGGCCTCTTTTCACTTCTGGGACGCTGTCTTTTTACGTCCTCCTGCACAGACCTTTGTTCCTGCTGTTGTCACAGGAATTTGGGGAGTATTTTTTTTCTTCTTATTGTAATAATTTAGATGTTTACTGTCGAGGAGAATAATGGCAGCATGTGGCATCCCATCACCCTACATGCTACATCAGAGGCAGCCTGAGGGTACAGGGCGTTTTGAGTCAGGTTTTGCATCACAGTGCGACTGCTTGGCCGTGGCACCACACTCATTATCTTGGCGGTGTGTTAATTGGATTGCCAGACACCTCCAGTTCGGGTCTGAAAATATCAACAAATAAATTCATTTTTTTTTTCCCCGTGTACGAACGAGAGCGACATCCTCAGAAAATCCAAAGTGTCCTCTGGATTACTGTCCTCCAGATAAGCACTGGTTTTGGCAGACAGGTGGTGTCAGCTATTTTTAGACTGCTCAGTGGGTGCAGTTTCACGACAGGGAAAAAAAAAAAAAGCTTTTGAAGGAATTGCTTTTACAGTTGTGTTCAAATGGCAGAAAAAGTCAGGATGAATCGCAGGTTGAAAAACGCTGATAACCGAAAGTGCATCACAGGCGTGATTTGACGTTATTGCAAGCAGTATTTAAGCTGAGGAAACATCTGAGTGTTTACCAGATATCCTCCTTCCCTCCCTCTGGCCCCCACAGCCTCCCCAGCACATCTTTTCTGTAGTTTTCTTTCCCACTCAGTGAGTCAATAGTCGACAGCTGGGAGTGGAGCGGGGCATCTCGTAGGGGGCTGAGGGCCTTATGTAACAGTTGGTGTCAGGCTAGAATGCTATTAAGATGTCTTGTGCAGTTGTGCAGAGCAAACAACACCAGCTAAGTTAGCGCTGCACTGGAGGACACGAACGTTTTACGATGGAGGATGCTTTGATTTTAAGATGTGGCTTCAATAAAAACCCTCGAGCTGATGACCTTTTGTGTGCGAAGATCTGTCACGCACCGGTTATAGTGTCTCAAGCTAATACGTTTGAGAGTAAATATGATGTAGGTGTAATTAGACAACATTTGTGTGGGCCGGGGGGAATGCGGCTGGAGAAGATAATCACAGCATTACTAGAAATATTTTCCTAACATCAATATATATTACAGTGCAAATGTTGGCATGTTCATATGATACTGTTTCGCTAATTAATATTCAGCCCACTAGTCTGTGTTCTGTTGCCATTAGACACAATTTCTCATGTGTGAAACATTAACGACTAAATACAGTTTACGAATTATTATTTTAACAGGAGTGACAAGATGCAGTTTCATTATATTGCAACTATAAGATCACCCTGAAAGTCAACAAATGATGTCGTCTAATCATGTAGCACTGGTTGAATTTCCTGTATAGTCATGAGTAATAATATTTAGAACCGGCTCCACATCGAAATTCATTCATGCCAAGTCATTCATTTCACCTAAAGCTACTAAAGGATGGATGCCTGTAACTACATTATTTATAGGTATTATTGATGTAATGGACCAGCACTGCGACGCTTTCCTTCATCAGCTATTTGATTAATCTAAAAAAATGTGAGAAACTATTTTTTTTTTTTTTAAAGAAAAGGTCAATCATCTTTACTGAAGCTCAAGGCAATGATGTGCAATTGCTTATTTTAATGATCCGGAACTTCAAAATAATTTTTCAGAGGTCACATTAAGAGATCCTCGTCACCGAGAGGCTGTAATGTCACGCTTAGCATTTTGTATTGATTTTGAAAAAAGGATTACAGCAAGAAGTGATCGAGTAGTGGCTGATTAATTTTCCGTCATTCAACAAAATAAATAATTTAAGCCGCCATTTAAATCAACCATTTATTGGTAATAAAAAGTTCCCATAATCATCAATGGAACTGAAACATTTTGCTTGAAAGTGGTCAACAAATGGTCTTAACAGCTTTTTTCAGGAACTGGAAGCTATTTTTTTCAGTTTCTGTTTACATATTGTTCACCAGACTGGCAACTCTGGAACATATTACCAACCAAATTCAAATTTGTTACTGATATAAAATTTTTACAACAAAGATTAAGGGCTGACTAAAGATTTTTTTAAAATTTCTTTCTTACCTAATTTAAGTTTTTACTTTTATTTTTTTTTAACCCTGGTCTTACGCATAGCAAGTTGTGTGTATTTAATTATACTTCATGTCTGTAGTTTATTGTGGTTTAACTAAAATGAAAGCTATTTTAATTGTACTGTGTGTGTGTAAAAACCCAACTGGAGACATGAGTTGGAAAATAAGCGATCGCTATAATCTCTCTGTGCAGCCCGTCAGTTTCAGACTCTGTATTGGATGTTAAACTGCATTGTCTCTATCAAATAACACATAAACAGCAAAAAAACACCAAAAAAAGATCAGTGCATTTGGCTGGGCATAGTAAAACAGAACAATATGCAACCAGTGGGATAAAGGATTTATTGGTGGGTTGCTCTCTCACACATACCAGCATTATAGTACTTGTACTGGAAATGTTTTATACGGGGGCAGCTTCAATAGATCACCATTATTAGCAGAATATTGTCCCACAGACTGTGTTAATGCTGTGCACACTAATCTGATGTGATAGTCATGTAACATTAGATGTCAGCAATGAGCTTTGCCAGCTTTGTGATTTGTGAATATCTCGCTGTCATCTCTCTCTCCCAGGTACCCACAGAGGCTGGGCTGCTGTACAGATGCGCCTCCTGCACGAACTGGTGTACGCCTCCCGTCGCATGGGCAACCCAGGCCTGTCTGTACGCCACCTGTCCTTCCTGCTGCAGACCATGCTGGATTTCCTGTCTGATCAAGGTCAGCTCCCAGTAAACACTCAGAAAGAACTTGAAAAGTAGGATTTAAACCTTGCACGACTCCTTTAGCTTCAAGCCCAGCCTTTAAAAAAAACAAAACAAAAAAAAAACCCGTCAAGTAACAGCCAACCTGCCCCTTGGTGATTGCGGCATTATACCTTGCGTTTAATAGTATGCGATGCACAACAAAGCCAGCTTTTTCTTGGCAGGAGTGCAACATTGTGCTCTGACCAGAAATCCTGTGCAGCCAGGAGATAGGGTTTTTACTGAAGCAGTGTGAGCCAGACGGTCCACTGGCCACACAATAGAGGCCAGTGTAATCCTTGGTTGGCTACTGAGCATGAGAATTGAGAAAGAGGGAGGGAGAGAGAGAGAGGGAGGAGGAGACGAGGTAGGAGCAAGATGAAGCAAGCTTACAGTATAAAATATTAAACACCAGCAAAGGGACTTGTGCAGCTCTGCTTAGGGTGTTGCTCATATAAGGCTTCTTAGAAACAGTTCTTGCTGGAAAAATATTCAGTTTCACACACATCGATGGGCAGAAATGTAGTGTGATGTAATTACTACTTTGTTGGTATGTAACAAGAAGTGAGCTAGCTATGTCCTAAATTAAAAAAAACAAACAAAAAAAAAACCTGACCTTGTTGGGGGACTTCTTGAGCAGTGCCTTTTGCTACAATAAAATAGCATTTCAGATTTACTTAGTCTAACTTTTTAGGCCCAGAGCACTGCCTGCTGCAGTTTGGGTGCCCTTCTTTGATTGCCTCTATTCCTGTCTCCTATATAATATTAAAAATGTCACAAGGTTATAGTCGTAGTTTATTCTAGTAGAATACGTCCCCTTTGATGTGTGTTTGACTTGTGTATTTATATGTCAAGTACAGAGAAGACTTAGACAGAAAAGGACTCTTTTAGGTCTGCTACAGTGGACACCTCTGTGCACGTTAGATACATCAACATCCTACTCACTTAACATATTTTCAAATTTAGTTAAGTAGGGCTGATGTATCAAGTAAATGTAACTGATTTAGATCTTTGGTTTTTGCTCGATTTGACAAGTCTCCTATTTAAGGAGAGCTTATTTTTCTGTCTCTTAAACCACACCAGCACGAGCAGCGAGAAGTGGCTTTCTGGAGTCATGACAGTAACATAAGCTGTCGTAAGACGGCCACATGTGTGAGCTTTGCCAGACAAACACTCGGCAGTAGCAGCTGACAGTGACTAAATAAGACAGAAGAAAGGTTGTCATATGTCTGTAGAGATGTGGAAATGGTTGGTTTTGGCAAAGCATGAAGTCGAAGCAGACTACTGTGCTCTGCAAAGTGTGTAAAACCTCAGTTTGGACTGGATGTGGCAGAACGGCAAACCAAGTCCAGCACCTGAGATTAAAGCATGGATGAGGGAGTGCAAGCAATGTTTTCCAGTCCGTCTGCTTTTCCAAATTCCTTAACCCCACATAAAAGCAGCCAACATTAGCTGCCTCCCTTTCAGTGTCATCCGAATGACAGGGCAGGGCACCGGTGGAAGGCAGTTACATCGGTGTTGGGAGTTTTTTCATTCAATACCAAATGTCAACCAGCCAGCTACAAATATTTTGCGGAGGCAGCATTACCGAGTTTGCTCCGGTTTTGTTATTGTTGCACAGCAGCTCCTGGTGCTTTTCTTTCCAGTGTGCTCAATGTGTGGAAGGATAATAACCTTGCTGCTGATGCCTTTCCTTTATTGGTCATGTCCATATAGCCTTTGGTATTGGAGAAAGTAATTTTTTTTGAAGAAAACAATTTTTTTTATTCATGTTATGTCCTAACCATGTGTAGACAGAAAAAAACCAATTGGAAAAAAAAAAGTGATTTCATCCATTTTTAATTTAAAATGATTCCTATTTTTGCAAGGCTTGGATTGTGGCACAGTCATAGAAAACCATTGATTTAAGATGATTACAGTGCACGAAGCATGCTCATGTTTTTAGGCTTGTTTTTGCTGGTCACCGTATCAGAAATGATGACAAATCAGTAACACAGCCAACAGTGAGCATGCAGTTTAGTTGCACCTGTGTAAATGAGTCTTCTTAATTCTATGTGGAAGCACAGGATATTTTCCAAATGTGCAAATCATCAGTCATTAAATGATGAGCAGATTAATTTTTCACTGATAATGAACTTGTGTGTTTGATGACATTGGTGCTGCATTTAATTGAAAGAGAACTAAAAATAGAGAGAAATAATTTGAAGATATTGTCTCTCAGATAACATCACATACTACAGTTGGTTGCATAAATCTTGCTCCTTTGAGAATATTGATTAAACTGCCTAAGATTGTTGGAAGAGACAACACATTTTTTGTAGACTGCATGCCTTCTTCCATTCTTTCCTGTTTTAATGTCATCACATCCCCCACAGGAGCCACATCTCTGAATTGAAAAAGCTTTTTTCAAAGACCTGTTTAAAAGGAAACCTTTTTAGATCTTGGCTGGTATCATTAGGAATATGGCTTTTTTAGGTCACCACCTGTGAAAATAGAACTGCATACCATTAAAGCAAAATGTGAAGCCAAAAAGAACTTTTGAAGTAAACCTAAGTAACATAAGTATAGAGCCATGAAGGTCCGTAAAAGTCTTCGTTACATGTTGATTTAACATCCTGTGTTACTGGATATCTTTTTCTTCACCAGCCCTACATATATACCATCCCATGTGCACTACCTTTAACAGCATGTTTAAGTTATTATAAAATTCAGCACATTTTCAATTGTATCAATATGAGAAGTGAAATTTATATAAAAATGAAAAAAATCAAACACAGACCTAAAGACTGAAGACTTAAATGCAAAAAAACCTAAACAAAACAGAAAAACACATCATGTTGCACTTAAACATCCTCTCTGAGAACTGAAACCAACATGAAGTACCAAAAGCTGTAGTTTCTCAAATGACCACTTGAGGCTGGCTCCAAAGGTGAGTCCTACCCTTAGATTCCCATGTCTAAACGTCTACCTTCACAGGATAAATAAACATGTTTACGGCATTGTGTATAAACTGGTATTGGTCTGTACGCCTGATTTGTTCCATTCTAACAACAACAGCCATACCACAATGTTTTCACCAGATGAATTTAAAAGAATAAAATAAAACTCACTTGAAGCAATCCATAATTAAGGGTGTGCTGAGGAACAGGTGGGCGCTGTCATTGGACAGTCCACGACCCAGAGGAGTTTTCATGGCTTGCCTAAGCTCCACTCCTGCTCCAACTCTTTGCTAATTCTTGGAAATAGCCAGGAGTTAGGAGAAGTCCGGTACTGCCAAGATGGTGGTGTCTGAGCCACCACATTGAGCTACAGAACTGCCGAAAACCTTTGGGTGACATCATGGAGGGTTTGTTCGTCTTTATTTAAAGTCAGTGCTTGCACTTGAGCTTGATTTAAATTGTATTACTCGAAGGTAGTAGTATTTATCTCAGCTTTAATGAAAAAAATTGATATAAAGATTTATTGTCAAGGTAGGGATTAGATCCCCTCATTTAAAAGTAGATTCAAACCACTTTTCACAAGTATGAACTACAGTATAAAAGTCTTGTGCTCATCAGTTTTCATATTTAGGTCTTTAATATGTACAGGTTTATACCTGATGTTGAATTAAAAGAATAATGGTATACCTGATGCCTTTTAGTTTAGGGCTGTTGTGTAGGCCGTAGTGTAGTTATGCTCCTTGATTTCCAGTCTCTGTGCAATTTACAGCAACAGCTCCCTGTTGCAGACTCATGGCTTTGCTTGCCTTTGTAATGTTAATCAGAGTGTTGCATTTAGAGCCACAAGATTGGCTTGTAGTATCATTACCAAGCTTATGTAGCATACTATCCCCATGCCATTATTAGACTTACATACTGTTTCTTCCCCTTCAATCATATGATTAAATGTGGACATGCACTTACCTTGATTAGCTTTATTTGACATGCCATCGGATTTTACCCAGACGGCTGCCAGATTAGCAACTTTGTGTTAATTGCGTTGTGCTTGTTGCGTTTCTCAGGTGTTGGGTGTTTTTGATGTTTGCAGGGCTTCTTAACTCTGTAGCTCCAGGCACTTGGGAAAACATGAAGGGCCCGATGGAGTAAGGTGTATTGGAAAGCTTGTTATTCTCAGGGAGCATGTCTGGGTATAGTGATGTAATGGTGGATCAACTATCAAGAACCACCAATTAAAGTTATTTTTGTCCTGAAAAATCAGCTCATACCAAATATAATTTATGTTCTCGATTGTAAAAAAAGAAAAATACCAAATATGATGTTTTCATTGTGCAGTTGCAATGACCAGTGAAATTGTTGCATCATTGAGTAGAAATGTCTCACTTCTCGAAGTTGTAAATTGATATTGTTGTCTAGTGGTTGCAGACTTGCAATACTAATTCCAGGCGCAGATGGTATCCTGCTCATGCCTCCATGCCGACAACAACCGAGGCTGGAGGCATTATATTTTCAGATTGTCTGTCTGTCTGTCTGTCTGTCTGTCCATCCCATTCCTATGAACACAATATCCTTTGAATGCCTGGAGGGGGCGAGCTTCAAATTTAGCATTGAACTGATTAGAATGTGGTAGTGAAAAGTCTCAAAGGCCAAGGTCACTGTGTCCTCATGTCTGTTCCATTCTCCTGAACACGATGCATCATGAACGCCTGAAGGGAATGTCCTCAAATTCAGGACAAACAGTCACTTCGACTCGAGGAAGAACTGATCAGATTTTGGTGGTCAAAGGTCACTGTGACTTCACATCCATCCCATTCTTGTGGACGTGATGAATCAGGAATGCCAGGAGAAAATGTCTTGAAGTTTAGCCAAACGTTCACTTGGACTC